AACCTGGTTTTGATTTTGACTATTCAAAGAGAAAACAAATATTTCAAACCAATTTCACTCTAGGAATAGTCAAAACACGAGACATGCAATGTAAAACAGGCCCTAGTAAGAGTTGCAATACCCATTTAAATCCCCGAGGGCTACTTGCATATCCCACACAAGCATCTGTATTCAAGATTAAACAATGGAGCGAAGACCAGATGACGACATTGAGATCAAGAGCAACCCCTTTGCAAACTCAAAAGGACGTTCCTTGTTGGACAGAAAGGTTGTTGACAATGACAAGATGTAATTTGAGCGGACCTTCGAGTGTAAGGAGATCCCACCATGGCAGAACCAACTTATGCTAAAAGCATTTGTCGTGAGCTTCCTCAGGGGAATTCTATTCACTTAAATCGTGATGAAAGTCAACCTAACAACTGGTATCATACCTTCTCTAAATGTTTCCGCGGGACTGCTGGGGTTCTTCTTTGTGAAGTCATGGACGAAACTTTTGGAAAAGTCTGGTATGTTAAGGCAAACTTTCACTTGGCAAGAGAACACCATCATCCAAACTTGTGTTGTCGCTATTTCTATAATTCCCTTCTGTGGTATGTTTCTAATTTTGTCGTGGCTTTTTATTCACATCATCTGTGCAGAATTGTCGAGGCTTATGATAGGCCAAACAAATGCAATAGGTTTTCCTTAGCTTATGTTTGGGCCTAGCAATTCCGAGAATGACTTAACGAGCACTGATGGAAATAAACTTGTAAAAAACTATGTGGAGTTATACTTATAACATTTTGACTGTTATATAGATCACATTGTTCCATATAAAACCATTCAATTTCCTCGTGCTAAATATGCACCCAATGGTTGATTTGCAAGCATTTAGTATAAGAGTTTGCTACTAATCTTGCTTAACCTGTTACCTTAGCTAACATGTCTTAATGATTTGAACAAATAGGGGACTTCGGAAGTTACATTTTAGGAATGAGTTTGGTTGAGGTGAAACAATCTGCAAAAGCTAATGCGGCACAAAATGTCAAGAACCCAGAACTAGGATGGATGATTGGATTTCTATTTGTTGTTAGCATTCTGGGTCTATTCTCTATAGTGCCCCTCCATAAGGTATTTGTTGCAGACCTATCCACCCAAGTATTAGCTAGCATTAAGGGGTCATTTAATACCAATCGAAACGCTTGAATTGAATGGCTATGCTTTGTCGTAATCTCCCTACGAATTAATTCCGTATTCAATGCTACGTTTGTAATGCTTTCCCATATTTTAAACTTTTAGAAAACCTGAGTTAGATTTTCCAGTTGAAATGGGTCCAAATGAAACCAAACCCATTTTGTGTGAGAATGAGACTGGGCCATTGGATCTCTTGGGACACATTTCCTGAAAAATAAAAAGATTAATGTTTGACACTACGACGTTACTGCATTGATAATCGTAAAGGACTAAACTTGCTTTTCTTACCCTTTTACTTTTCCAAGTATTATTATAATTTCGTATTTTCTGGTTAACCTCAGATCATGATCGTCGACTTTAAATTGACGTACCCTAGTGGCACTGCAACTACACACCTTATTGATAGTTTCCACACTCCTCAAGGAGTTGAGCTTGCTAAGTAAGATTTGTTTGATAAACCATGATGTTTCCCTCTCATTAAATTTCATAACTCAAATGCCGAGATCTTATGTTCAATTTCTCTTATACATTATTCAGGAACCAAGACAAAGAATTAGGCAAGTTCTTCTCGTTTAGCTTCTTGTGGTCTCTCTTCCAATGGTCCTTCGCTGCAGGCGATGATTGTGGATTTGCAAAATTCCCTTCACTTGGTCTCAATGCCTATGAGAACAAATACGTAAAGCATTTCACTATTATTTCCACTATCCATTTAAACGTTACATTGCATGGAAAATTGAAGGACTCATGGTTTTAGTTGAAACTCCAAATTCCAGAGAGTGCATAGGTATAACATTTTGTGAAGTAGCAAACCCCTTCCGCAATTCTACACTTTTATTAATATTTTTCTTTAATGATATAACAGGTTTTACGTTAATTTTTCGGCTACTTATGTGGGAGTCAGGATGATTTGTCCATAGATTATAAACATATCATTGCTGATCGGAGGGATTCTCTCCTGCGGTATCATGTGGCCTCTCAATGATGCTAGAAAGGGTGATTGGTATCTTGCAGATCTCTCCAAGAGCAGCCTCTATGGCCTTCAAGGTTACAAGGTAATCCAATCCCTTCCTACCAACAAAGTGAGAAGGAGAGGCAATGGGAGAGAACGAATTAATGTGTTTGCTCTTCTTTGACTGCAGATCTTTAATGCCATCGCTATGATACTAGGTGATGGCCTCTACAATTTCATGAAGATTCTGATCCAAACTTTAATCTGCTTTTTTCACCAACTTCATAGCAAAAACACTAGCTCGGTTCTCCCTATTGCAGATCCACCCACTCCTAGAAACCTAACTCTTTCTTATGATGACCAATGCTGCACAAGACTCTTCCTAAAGGACCTAATTCTATCGAGGTTTGCACTAGTAGGTTATGTTGTCATTTCTGCCATCTCCATCGGAACCCTTCCTCATATATTCCCCCAGCTGAAGTGGTATCATGTGTTAGTCATCTACATCTTTGCACCCATCCTAGCTTTCTGCAATGCATACGGGTGTGGACTTAGTGATTGGTCTCTAGCTTCAACTTATGGAAAGCTTGCCATCTTCATCGTTGGAGCGTGGGCTGGGACTGCTATTTGTGGGGTTATTGCTAGTCTTGCTGCTCGTGGTGTCATGATGAACATTGTCTCACCGGCCTCTGACCTAATGCAGGATTTCAAGACAGGGTACCTAACTCTGACTTCCCCCCATTCCATGTTCGTGAGCCAAGTGGTTGGGACTGCCATGGGTCGTGTTATATCCCCGTGTGTCTTTTGGCTCTTCTACAAGGCCTTTCCTGATATTGGGGTTGCCGATTCAGAATATCCCGCCCCATATGCTCTTGTCTACCGCAATATGTTGGTACTGGGAGTTGAAGGGTTCTCAGCTCTACCCAAGCACTGCATTACACTTTCCTTCGTGTTTTTTATAGCAGCTGCTCTCATTAACTTGACTAGAGATGTTGTTGGTGAGATGTGGGCAAGGTTTATTCCAGTTCCAATGGCAATGGAAATACCATTCTATGTAGGCTCTTACTTTGCCATTGATATGTGCGTCGGTAGCTTGATATTGTTTGTGTGGGAGAAGACAGGCAAGGAAAGTGTAGAAGCTTTTGGTTCATCTGTAGCTTCTGGCCTGATTTGTGGAGACGGGATATTGGCTCTACCTAGTTCGGTACTAGCATTGATTGGGGAAAAGCCACCAATCTGCATGAAATTTTTGTCAAGAGCAACAAATGCAAAAGTCGACAGGTTTTTGCTGTCTTAAATCTTGTCATTTAATAGTTGTTCAACATGTCCAATTTCTGTTCTTCTTAACGTGATGCGAAATATATGACTGAAAATGTCCATTTTTTTCATCCCAGATTTCTATACCGATGGAGGGGAAAACACCGTAAGATTTTTTTAACTAATCAAACAAAAATGCTATGAAGGGGATGTAGAAGCCCTACCCCTCTAAGCAGCGATAAAAGGGGATGACATTATTTAACACCAAATTTTAATACAACAACATGGAGAACCCAACCATCCCCTAAATCCCAACAAGAAAATTAATGGAATCCAATAATTTGAGTTTGAATTTAATCTTCATAAAGTGGACAACCCGGCTGTCCGCTAGAGGAAGGTCTAGATTGTGAGAGAATAACTTGTCATCATGATATCGTTCCATGCTAAGTTGGCCAGTGAAACAACAACCCCATTGTGAACCCATAGCAACCCACCACAACCACAAGTTCCAGAGTTGCCTTTTGTAGCCCCATCAACATTAACCTTTACTAAATTAAGGACCAAAACATCACCAATCGGTAATCCACAATTTCGCATAGACGGGTGCAACCCCTTAGTACCAACGGGTTGTAATTGGAGTAACTTCTTGCAAGAGAACACCATAGTACCAACGGGTTTAATGGTGGGGAATACAATAGGTGGCTCCTAGGGTTAAAATGCTAAAAAGAGAGTACCCTAAAATGTATGGTGGAGATTAGAAGGGATGGAAGGTGAGGATTTAGCAGTTAGGGGTGGCTAGAGTTTGTTGAAATCCTAGTATTTTTCTTGCATGGACAATGGCAATACTTTGATTTTAGGAGACCATTATACTGAGTTGAAAAATTTCGTTGGATGGCTTAGATATTAAAACAATGATCCTAAGAGACAAATTTCACGATTTAGGTCGCTGGGATAATTTGGTGTACTTCATTTACTATGCCACACGTAGCTATGAACCATAGTACATCACTTGGATTTTAATGACAAGTTGACTAGTCTTTAATGAGAAAACCATGAATAAAAGCATCTTCTTATGGTAGTACAAAATGGATAAAGAGAAAATTTGACTTTTGAAATGCTCGGGACAGGAGCATTTTAGGATCTTAGAAGTGTTTGACAATCAAATTAATTTTGAAATGTTAATACAACTTGTACGATGCATTGCGAATCATATCCATTTGCATAGGACCCAACATATGGCTTGACTTGAGTAGAGACGTTTCGTCGTGTTTCCACCTATACTGTTCTATTTTAAACCATTTTACAATGATTTTCCGATTTTGCTCGCATTAATTTCAACCATTCCGTTTTCTTTATTTGTGCATTTGTAGGCCTTTTCTTAAGTTACCTTGTTGTATCCATGCGTCGCCGCCAAAATACGAGGTGTCATTGTAATCTAGCCTGGTTTTGATTTTGACTATTCAAAGAGAAAACACATATTTCAAACCAATTTCAATCTAGGAATAGTCAAAACATGTGGCATGCGTTGTACAACAGGCCCTAATAAGAGTTGCAATACCCATTTAAATCCCTGAGGGCTACTTGCATATCCCACACAAGCATCTGTATTCAAGATTCAACGATGGAGCGAAGACCAGATGACGGCATTGAGATCAAGAGCAGCCCCTTTGCAAACTCAAAAGACCATTCCTTGTTGGACAGAAAGGTTGTTGACAATGACAAGATGTCATTTGAGCGGACCTTCGAGTGTAAGGAGATCCCGCCATGGCAGAACCAACTTACGCTAAGAGCATTTGTCGTGAGCTTCCTCTTGGGAATTCTATTCACTTTCATCGTGATGAAGATCAACCTAACAACCGGTATCATACCTTCTCTGAATGTTTCCGCGGGACTGCTGGGGTTCTTCTTTGTGAAGTCATGGACGAAACTTTTGGAAAAGTCTGGTATGTTAAGGCAACCTTTCACTCGGCAAGAGAACACCATCATCCAAACTTGTGTTGTCGCTATCTCTGGAATTGCTTTCAGTGGTACGTTTCTAATGTTGCCATGTCCTTTTATTCACATCATCTCTGCAGAATTGCCGAGGCTTATGATATGCCAAACGTATGCAATAGGCTTTCCTTAACTTATGTTTGGGCCTAGCAATTCCGAGAATGACTTAACGAGCACTGATGGAAATAAACTTGTAAAAAACTACGTGGAGTTACACTTATAACATTTTGACTCTTATATAAATCACATTGTTCCATATAAAACCATTCAACTTTCTCATGCTAAATATGCACCCCATGGTTGATTTGCAAGCATTTAGTGTATTACTAATCTTGCTTAACCCGTTACCTTAGCTAACTTGTCTTAATGATTTAAACAAACAGGGGGTGTCGAAAGTTACATTTTAGGAATGAGTTTGTTTGAGGTGAAACAATCTGCAGAAGCTAATGCGGCACAAAATGTCAAGAACCCAGAACTAGGATGGATGATTGGATTTCTTTTTGTTGTTCTCTTTCTGGGTCTATTCTCTATAGTGCCCCTCCATAAGGTATTTGTTGCAGACCTATCCACTCATGTATTAGCTTGCCTTAATGGGTCATTTAATACCAATCGAAGCGCTTGAATTGAATGGCCATGTTTTGTCATAATCTCCCTACGAATTAATTCCGTATTCAATGCTACGTTTGTAATGCTTTCGCATATTTTATACTTTTAGAAAACCTGAGTTAGATTTTCCAGTTGAAATGGGTCCAAATGAAACCAAACCCATTTTGCGTGAGAATGAGACTGGGCCATTGGATCTTTTGGGACACATTTCCTGAAAAATAAAAAGATTAATGTTTGACGCTATGACTTTACTACATAGATAATCGTAAAGGACTAAACTTGCTTTTTTTACCCTTTTACTTTTCCAAGTATTATTATAATTTCGTATTTTGTGGTTAACCTCAGATCGTGATCGTCGACTTTAAATTGGCGTACTCTTGTGGCACTGCAACTGCACACCTTATGAATAGTTTCCACAGTTCTCAAGACGTTGAGTTTGCTAAGTAAGATTTGTTTGATAAACCATGTTGTTTCTCTCTCATTAAATTTCATAACTCAAATGTCGAGATCTCATGTTGAGTTTTTCTTATATATTATTCAGGAACCAAGTCAAAGCATTAAGCAAGTTCTTCTCGTTTAGCTTCTTGTGGTATCTCTTCCAATGGTTCTTCGCTGCAGGGGATGATTGTGGATTTGCAAAATTCCAATGGTTCTTCGCTTCGGTGATACCTTTAATTTAGTCCGATATAACTTAATTCGATACTATTACATAACCATATTGTGTATAATATATAATCTGATGCTACCAGGAAGTCACCTTGTAATCAAACTTAGTGAAATTTTATAAGAAAAAAGGAAATTGTAAAAGAAGATCAAAGCATGTGATCTCAAGAAAATAAAGAAAAATAAAAGGTTAGGCAAGGATTAACAAGATTAGTTATTGCATATGAGTTTTTTTTTTTTAACATAAATCCCATTAACATTCTATTATCCATGGAAAGGTGTTAAAAAATTGGAATATAAAAGTAGAAATAGGATATACAAGTTACTCAACCAAAATGCGAAAGAAAACATAAGCCCTAGAAAAAGTCAGTGAAATAAAATAATCTATTTTCAAAACTACCTTCTAATATAGTATATTTGGAACTAGAATGTGTGAAAAGAAAATAAATCTACATAATCAACAAGTTAGTAGGTTCACTTATAGTATCTCACTTCTTCCGATTTTGTTCTTGACAATCATTTATAGTATCTCACTTGTAGTGGTTCACCCTCCACCTTTGCTTTTCTGTGCTTCAAGTGCAATGGGCTTTCACGAGAGGGGCATGCTAGAGAAATAACTATTCAACCGCCTCTCCTAACAGTTTAAGCCTTTTTGTTGAATGGTTCATTGAATTGGATAATAATAACCTATTGAGGTCTTTGAAACTCTTAATGGAGCGTTTGGTAGAAATGCAAATATGTATATATAAAATAATACAAAATAGAAGGTTTTGCACTACATAACTCCTTCCATAAGTGAGCCTAAAAGGGTTTAAGGTAGGTGATAATGCAAAGATTTTAAGGCATGAGGGCTTAAGTGTAAAAAGACAGACAAAACAGAGAATAGAATGATTTGGATCGATTGATGACCCGGCACCCGCCTGATTCGACACCATTGATATTATAAAACCCTAGACCCTTCTACCTCTTTTCCCTCTTTCTTTCTTTTTTTTCCTCTTACTGCACCCTTATCGCCATCATCTCCCGCGGCAGCTCCGACATCGGGCGACTGCTCGACGGCGGAACTTTAGGTAACCTCTATCTCTCTTCCCCAAAATAATTATACTCTCCGCCCAACACTTCCTGTGCCTCTGTCTGTTTCTCTGTCTGTGTTTTTCGCAATCTAACCGACCTCTCTGGATTATTTCGGTGCAGTGTCGATGGCGACGATGGTTTCGATGGCGGATATCGAAGCGAAGGCCATGGGGCTCGGAATCGATCTTTCTAAAGTGGATTTAGACGTCATTAGGTTTCCTCCCGGCGAGGATTTTGGTATTAAGAGGTAGCATACCCTTAGCATAACCCTAACTCCACTACCCTGGCTAAGAATTTAGTTCTGAGTGTTTATAATTTTTTTATTATTTTAACTCGATTTATTGTTATTTTTAATAGTGATGATGAAGACATTCTTCAAGAAGATAATCTGGAATTTGAAAGTGGGTTAGGAAATATAATTGTTGTTGACAATCTTCCGGTTGTTGCACCGGAGAAATTCGAAAAGTTGGAGGGTGTTATCCGAAAAATTTACAGTCAGATCTGTGTACTTAAAGAAGATGCCATTTGGATGCCTCTTAATCCTGAAACTCAGAAGACACTGGGTTACTGCTTCATTGAGTTCAATACTCTTCAGGTATCCAGTCTTGTTTTCTTGTTTATCTGTTTGCTTATCGGTAAGTGATATAAATCGTTCTTCAAGGTTGTCTATTGACGTCTGTTAGAACCTCGTTGGTAAATGAGCTTCTGCAGTTAAAATTTTATGACTTTGTTCACATGGGACACTGGAACAATTATACGTTTCGTGGGGGTTTTTAGGAACCACATTGTTATGATTTTTTTTCCATTCGTTTCTCACTGAATCTGAAATAGAAATATCACAGGTTTCCTTGAATTGTGTATTCCTTGTGAAAGTAAAACGTATGTAGGTATTTTTATTACTGGTTTAAGTTCGAGGGTTGTTAAGTGGTAATAGTTTGTAGAAGAAGAGGGGGACAAGAGAGAGAACTTAGGGTCATTAAGCAATACCTCCTGGAAAGCCTTCTCAGGCAACAGGGGAATGGAGAAGAATTACGAAGAAAATTTTCCTAATGCATTTGCATCTAGCGTAAATTTTCACGTACTCAAATTCTCAAAATACATTAGAGATTTTACCAACTTAGATAACTGACTTCTAGTTTAGTTTTTTATGGATCATCCTCTACTTTCCTACCTTTGAAGCCACCCATTGCCATGAAAGAAGTGAGAATAAGTTGGGCTGATGGTACACACGACCATATCAGGTTTCTTGAAAGGTGAGGTCTTGGGCTATGGCTGAATGGCAACCAAGTTTGGTTTTTCAGGTGCGGAAACTCAATGTGGGTTTCTTCCTTTTCTTTCCGGAAATGAAGAAGAAGCTCGACATTCTCAATTGTGAACAAGGTCAATTCTGTTGCCCAGAACTCAAGCTAGGGGGATGGAGTCCTTTAGTTGGGGCTTTAAGGAACTTGGGTACAACAAGCTTGGTGTGGATAAATGTCTACAACATCCCCTTACATGCTTGGTTCTTCCAAACTTTTTTAGCTATTTGGGATGCATGTGGAAAATTAAGATCTGTCGATTCAATGATTTTCTCGTGGAAGAACCTGGTCACTACACATATCCTGGTTTAGGTTAAAGAAGCTGAAAGGTAAGGTTAAAGAAGCTGAAAAGGCAGGTTAAAGAAGCTTAAGTGGGGTTAATCTCTTGAAACTAAAGGGCGCTGACATTTTTTCCAGCCATTATTTTAATAGGCAAAAGGTTTTTAAGAGAAGAGGCTTTAAACTTAGGAGTTCAAACTTCCTCAAAAGAGTGAAGTCTCTATCCATGATTGATGCGGGGAAGAGAAGAGTTGGAGATGCTGCCAATTGGGTTTGGGAGATTCATAATTACAAGAGCTAAGGAGATGAGAAGATCGGTGCTTTCTCTGGGAAGGTAAGGCCGAGGACAAGAGTTTACGACAATGGTTCTACAAATTCCTACTTTGGTTCGTGGTGTCATGACGATCAGGTTTTGGATTTGCTTATGGCTTCTTCAAAACATTAGACACTTGGTGATGAGTTGGCTCATGTGGGGGTTTGCGAATTGGATGTGTCTTTTGACTAATGGCACAGGACTCTTCAAGGCGAGGTGGTGTCTGGTTTGGAGAAAGAGTGGGTAGATCAAAAGTTTATGTGGAAAAAGGCGAAGATCCTAGTGAAGATACTAGTGAAGTGGTTGAAAAGGAATGTGCAGAGAAATTGGAGACTAACCATAAGACTTAGGCTTTTCAGTTAGGTCTCTTTCAAGCTGAAATCTAGCATGTGTTGACCGGTAGGATAGGAGCTGACTTGGGCCATTAGAAGGAAGGTGGTTGGGATTGTGAAGACTATTGGCAGAGTCACTGTTGATACGGATGTTTATAATCCTCAGGGGTCAAGTTTTTCTCATATTGTACATGTGACTAAGGTGTTTTTGCAGTTGAAGGATAGCATTGTGGGGGCAGGGCCTACAAATAGGTACAAAAGAATATTTAAGAGAACAGGAAGGAAGACAATGGTGCTGGTGTCTAAGGAGAGCTGCGGGGTGGGTCAAGTTTCTTGGGAATCAAAAACTATGATGGGGAATCTCGAGTCTGAGGAGGAAAGAAAGGAGGATGGGTTCAACTTTAAGGAGGAGGTGCAGGCTTAGTTCCTATCTGATAAGCTGCTAAGACAAGGATGTATGCCTATTGGTGACCTCACCAACAAAGATGTTGAGGTGGGTGGGGCTTGGTTTGTTTTTCTGGGGAGAAGAGGAGTTTGCCAGAAAAACCTTTGAGGAATTTGAAAAAAGAAAGAAGAGAGGGCAAGGAATGTCTTAGTAGGAGGTTGAGAAAGCTGGAATGAGGATAATTTAGGGCAGGAGGAAAGGTTTGAAGGGGAGGATTAGGGTGTGCTTTTTAGGGGGTCTCTGGGTTTTTTTTTCTTCAGTTGAAGGTTTGTTTTTGGTTTTCTTTAGGCATGATGGTCTATAGATGTGGTGCTTCATTTGGGGTGGTAGTGTGTTTTTCTGTGTGTGTTTTTTGGTTCCTTGTTATGGGGGGGAGGGTGTAGTTTTGCAGTTAGTTTGGAGTTTTCTTGGTCTTGTGTTCTTCTTTTGGCCTTTTGGGTGATTCCTTATCACCTTAACAGAAGCAATGACTTGATTCCCATGTGGTATTTAATAGACCCCCTCTAATTAGAACCCCAAATTGAATAGGATAGTTCTCTTTGTATCTTTAGGACGTTATTCTGTATTTCTGAATTACTCGTGATAGAATAAAATATTGTAAGAAATAAGGAATTTGGAGACGTGAAGCATCCACCTGAGGATGTCTTGGGCTGTTCTTCCAGTTAAATGTTCGAGGAAATCCTCAAATCATCTACAATGGAAATCAGTTGATGTATTGGCAATGCATAGAAAATGAAGTAACCCCGTGTTTGTCGAGATAAACATTTCAATCCTATGTTTTTCTGTTTATATAATAACTGTTTCCTGTGATCATTCTACTAAATCTCTATTAAAAACATGGAAAAGCTACAATTGTGACACCAGATGTCAATATCTAACAATAAAGGAAACCTCATAAGAGGGAAATGTAAACAGTATAATACAAATTTCAATGGCACAATACTTGCTACCCAGGAAGACCTGCTACCTAATATTGTCTTGTTTGTCCAAACCCCATTTCACGTAGAGCATCACCTAGATAGCCTTGGGATCCATTTGAACAAGATCTTCACTTTGGATTCCAATTTCCAAGAATCTAGCTTCTCCAGTAAAGACATTATTGTGAGTCCATGCATATGTGCTACGATCTTGGATTTAGTAGAATTGGATGAAAGAATGTGTCCTAATTAGTCAAGGTTACTTCCATAGCTTCTAAAACTCCAAATTCTTGATGGATCTATGTTTTCCATGAGATACCCATCAAGGTTGAGTTTGATTATTCTACAATGATTGATGACTAAGTTCTTTTAACCAGTAACTGAAATTGCTTTTATTGAGAATATCAGAAATATTAAGGTATTTACATTACTATGTATTCTCTGTATGGTGTACAATTTACTCATGGTTCTAGCTGATACTGTTCCCCTATGCTCCTAATAGATTCCCAAGATAATCTAGTCTTTGTTTTTAATGCAAGGGATATTCTCCCCACTGCAAAACCTTCTACTAACTTCTTGTTAGAGTCAGCAGGTGCGTTAATGGAATGAGGGATTCAGTAGAACCCTGAACCTACATTTTGCTTCCAACTATCTTGTTTCCCTTGTTTGATGCTGGAGTCTCCATTGTCCTCCCATCTCACCCTTCATCGAGGATATGGTGGTTTTTGGGTCTCCTTCATCCATGATATCTCAAAAACCAGAAGATGTTGCCAGTTTCAGTTCTTGAAACGTTGATATTGCTCCATTTCTGCTTCAATAAATCTTTGATACCTATTGGTCTGGGAAAAAAAGACAATTTGATTGAAGACTGTAGTACATCTTCATTTACCCTTCGTTCCCAATGTAAAATGTTTCATTCTAGTGATTTTATCTTAGGGACAACACTTTAGCTTGCCCTCCTTGGGTGGGATCAAAGTGCCCATTTGGGAGGGCTGAAGTGCAGGAGATCAAATCAGCCCCCCACATGACTTCTCCCCACAACGTCCCACAGCACATCTCTGCCGTGCATTGGGAACTTCTCCCAATGATGACATCATCATTTCTGGTACTATCATCGGGAGATGTTCCCAATACACGGTGGGGATGTGTTGTGGGACGTTGTGGGGCGCAGTCTTGTGGGGGGCTGATTTGAACTCGAAGTGCAGTAGCTTCTGGCTTTCCAAGGTGGGTCCATGCATCATTTTCTGCGGTCTTCTGGGCTTGGCAAGCTTGGAAGACAAAAAGTCAGTCTTTTTCCATTTGCTAAGAGAAAGACAAGAAGACTGAAAGATGCATGCTTAGAAAGACCTGAAAAGACCGAAACTGCCAAATTTTGGGAAGCTTCAAATGAAGCTTTTTGGTCTTTCTGTGCGGTAAATAGCCTTTAAATGAGTTATTAAAAGCCCGGTAGACTGAGCTGCTTACTAATTGGTCTTGATCTTTAAAGACAAGACCCCAAAAGTTCAAGCACAAACCTTCCTAAAAAGACTTGCCAAATGGCACCTTGATTTGCTATTTCTAGAGTGGAACATTTTACATTGGAAAACATTATTCTGAGTCCAGGTGCCTTGGCACAAATCATGGGTGATAATGGTGAACCTTGTACTTTCTTATACATGAGGCCTGAAGCATAGTTTTCAAGGCGCCAAGGCGAGGCTAGGTGACCATGGGGCGCCCAGGCACCAAAGTGAAGCTAGGTGACCATGTGGTGTCCAAGTTGGTGGATTTCTGCTCCTTCTGAACTAGTTTTTTTGGATTATGTATTAACCTACAAACTTTGAACTTACTCTTTTGCTTGTGTTTCTTGTAATCTTGCTTCAAGTAGGCAAAACAGATTATTAGAGTTATAACTTACAAGTTAAAACTTAAAAGAACTGGAGGGGGGCTGTAGCCCCTGTGTTAGACCAAGAAAACAATAGAACCTAAGAAGAAGGGGCGGAGCCCCTGTTTTACATCAAGAAAACCTAGGGAGCAAATACTAAAATAAAAAAAGAAAATGAAGAAAAGTAGGGGTTGGAGCCCCTGTTCTAGACCAACAAAAGCTGGTGAAGAAATACTAAAATAAAAGAAAATGAAGAAAATGAACATTGTCTTCTCTTGTGCTTTGTTCTTCAAAGTCTTGAGTCAGTCCACCAGTCCTACCTTCCCCCCTTTCCCTATTGGTGAGGTTTGGTGCAGAGCAATACCTCCTAGGGTTGGTAGTTTTTGTTGGGAAGCCTATCTRGAAAGAATCAACACTAGTGATCTACTCCAAAAGAAGAGACCCAATACTTGCTTGTCACCTCAGTGGTGTGTTCTATGTAAAGCGGATGGGGAGACTGGTTTTCACCTACTGGTGTCTTGCCACTTTGCGAGGTCAATTTGGGACTGGGCTTCCTCCTTATTTGGATGCAGTTGGAATCCCCCATCAGACTTGCAGGGCCTTTTCTCCCCTACCTTTTTTAGGTGGCGGATAATGTGGAGAGGACTAAGGGCTGCAGTATGTTGGACACTGCGGGAAGAAAGAAACTCCAGGATATTCTCTAAAACCCAGAGAGGAGCAGTAGATCCGAGGGCTATCATACATATTAGGGCGGTACAGTGGCTGAAATCTTTGGAACTATTCACAGATTACACTGTGGATGACATGTTGAGGAAGTGGGGTGAAATTGCAAATTGCACACAGACCAAGTCAGTAATGTATGTGGCTTGGACTCCCCCACCTAGTGGATTCTTGAAATTAAACTTTGATGGATGTA